AATCTTTCCAACTGTTTCTCCTCATTTTGATTTGTGCCCCATCAGCAAACAAAGTGTCATAGTCAACTCGACTTTCAGGAGGTAGCTCTTCCCCAGTTGTGTTTTGAGTGTCTTTCAATCTGAGGGGCTCTTCTTCTGATGCTATAGCTGACAATGTTCTACTGCTATTCATAAGGTTTTCAAAGGCTAAAGCTTCCAAAGTGTTCCATCTCTCCTTCCTAGCTTGCCTTAGTCTGGAGACTCTCCTGAAACTTGTACACCATGGGTGACTCTGCTTACACGGCTTTCAGCATTACAGCAAGGTTTACATAGGAATGGGAAAAGAACTTTAATAAGGACATAGAAGAAAAATATATAGGCATTCTTTTGTGGAAGGGATGTTGTTTTCTTCTTTATGTTAAATGAATGGAAATGATCCAAATAAAAATAGATAGAATTTAAGTGTTGCAAATTAATTTATAGAATGAAATGTAATGAAACAAATACATAGACAAAGAGAAATGAAAATAAATAATGATCCTGCAACCAAAAAGAGCTTATAAAAATTTGTTAGATGGATATGGAATGTATAGTAGTTATCTGGGTTCTATTTTAAAAATAGTTTTATATGTTTGAATTGTTTGTACCTGACAACATAAACATGAAATGTGCCCAGTCTTATTAGCCATGTAATAAATGCAAAATACAATAACTTTTAGATAGTCTTGAATTGGGGAAATTATTATAACTTACAATTGAAGCAATCATCAGGAAACAGATGGCACAACTCCTGGAGATATTGGCAAAGTGAAGTAACAAGAAAGGATGGAGCAGCACCACCTAAAACCGTTACCGTCTCTCTGCCTAAAGGGGCAAAGGGAAGGGACAGTATTACGGGGTCCTGAAGGGAGCTTGGAGTCATAGAAGAAGGACTCTAATAACAGCTATAATGGGAGAAAACAGACTCTGCTAACATTTCATCAAGGGCAAGAGCATAAGGGTAGAGGTGGAAGTAAAGTCGGTAGCTGATTTCTTTCTCTTCCCTTCTGTGATCTCCTGCCAGTATGTCACATTGCTTGAACCCAGCCAGAAGCTTGAAAGTTAGTTGGTGCTAATGAGGGAACATCCTATATTTCCCAAGACAGATTGTAATAGTAAATAGCATTACAAATCTTTTTTTTCTTCCTAAAATAACCAGTCTAATATGTATGCAAAGGAATAAAGGAACCCCGGTAGTATAGTGGGTTGCAAGTTGTGCTACTAACCACAAGGTCAGCAGTTTGAATCTACCAGTCACTCTGCTGGAGAAAGATGAGGCTTTCTGCTCCCGTAACGATTTACAGCCTTGGGAACCTTATGCAGGGTCACTGTGAGTGGGAATCAACTTGAAGGCACACAACCACTACCACTACTGCTAACACATGTTTATATCCCCCCAAATAGTGTTTCCTTATTTATTGATACATACTAAAACAAACAAACAGACAAAAAAAACCTGAAAGTGAAAACAATATATATTTACAATAGTACTCTATAATACCAAAAAAAAAAAAAAAAAAATCACACATAACAGACTAGCAAGAAAAATAATGTGTCTTTTCAGTTGTTTGTATTTTCACTCATTCCAAAAGTGGACTGAAGTATATGGTACATTAGAATGATAGAATAAAGACCGTTATTTAAAGTAAGTGTTTAAATAATGTCAGTACATGAAAAGATATTAAAGAAAATAATGCTATATGAATAATATATGCAAACTGATTAAACCTTTTAAGATTCCAAGGGTCTTCACAAGTTCATGGGAAAATTGCTTTATCTTTTAATTCCAATTTATGCCAACTTTTTGAAACCCCCATATGATGCTGTGGATTAGGTATCAGGCTGCTAACTGCAAAGTTGGTGGTTCAAACCTACCAGCTGCTCCATTGGAGAAAGATGAGGCTATCTGCTCCTGTAAATATTTACAGTCTGAGAAATCCTATATGGGGTCACTGTGAGATGCAGTTGAGTTGATGGCAGTGGTTTTCATATGTGTTAGACATTAAAAGATAATCTAATATATTGCAATTTTGTTTGAACCCATTTCCAATCTTTATTAGAAAGAGGCAGTACAAATACATCATTGCTGTTGTTAGGTGCCATTGAGTTGGTTCCAACTCATAGTGACTCTATATAGGGTTTCCGAGGTGGGTTTGAACTGCTCACCTTGTGATTTGCAGTCCAATGCTGATCCTACAACAGCACACCAGTAGAATAAGGAAATACTACTATACATTCGGTTCTTTTTTTCTTTTTCCTGAAATTTTACTTAAGACTTTACTAAGAAAAATGGTTCCCTATAGCTCTCGTCTACCCACTATGATTATAGTGTAGGATGAGAGGTTCTAGAGGTGAAAATGTTAACATTCTCTGGGTCAGAAGAATTACCTTGAAAAATGACTTGAGTTTCTTATACAAATGAATTGAGGTGTAAGTGTCAAATAGTTTGTTAAAGCAGACTTTTCATTACCTAGAGTTTTGAGGAAAGCTTGTATCTAGAAATAGACTAATTTAACTAATCCACAAGCTAAAAAGCAAATTTCTGTTTGATACTTTGACAAATGTTCAGATGCAAATAATGAGAAGTGCTATTATTATAACCCTGGAGAACCCCACACAATTTTGTGAAATGTCACCAGCATAGGGAAAAGGTTGTTTGGCCTACTGATGGCAAAATTGGTTGGCTACCTATTTGCCTTTGTTGTTGGTGTTATTATGTGCCATGGAGTCGGTTCTGACTCATAGCGACCCTGTACAGGCTTTCTGAGGCTGTAAATCTTTATGGGAGCAAACCGCCTCATCTTTCTCCCATGGAACAGGTGGTAGTTTCTAACTGCTGACCTAAGGTTCGCAACCCATTTCATAACCTGGGATAGTCTAATCTTACATATGAGAAAATTTCATTATAAAGTCCTGTGGTGGAAAGATACTAAGAGAAATTCCAATTTGTATTCATATTAGAAATTCAAACTTACATTAATTCTGAAACTACCTTAAGTTTTAATCTTAGGTAGGTGCTTCCCAAATATAACATAATCCAAAGTTAACCTAAAACAAAACATGCAACTGTAGGCTTTCTTTCATTTTAAAATTAATTTTTAGATTGATTCATTCAGAAACATTTATTAACCATGTTATATATGCCAAGGACTTTGTTGTATGCTGAAATACTAATGTACAGATTACATAATTTCCCTTATTTCCATTAATTGTACTGCTTCCTACAATAACCCTATTGAGATCGCTGTTGCTGTTAAGTGCCATCCAGATGGTTTGGAACCATAGTAACTCTGTATAGGGTTTCCAAGGAGTGGCTATTGAGATTAGGCATACTAAAAGCCTTTTAGCTCTAATAACAACCCTACCAGGTTGGTGTCATTTAATAGATGAGGAAAATCAAAAGGCCCTAGGGGAATCCGAGGGGAAGTGACTGAGATATAAAACAAGCCCTTTATTCCTCCTTTTACTTCAGTTAGGCAAGTATTTTCCAGACCAAAAACATTGGGATACAGGGCTTGAGAAGGAAAATTTTCTCTTTTGTGAGTTTATTTGTATGTGAAGGGTCTTAAGGCAATATCAAGTTGAATTATGCATACTTATTCTTTTGATTAATCACCTCATTGAAAAGAAGAATATTACATAAAAATTTGGATTGTCGAAGAACATCTGGGACATATGGTCACCATGTTTATACCCCACCACAATTTTGTGAATATTTAAACTTTCTTACTCTGCCCCAGATTTTCAGTTGCCTCACATTTTGTGGTCTCTCCCCCACTACTCTCTTTCTATCTCCATGTTTTTTTGTTTTCCACTACCCAACTTATGTTCGCTTTTGTCATTATCTTAGCTTTTGCAATTGTCTACCCTGACACACTTGGAAATAGACAGTTTGTTTAGCAAAGTGACCAGCTTCTGCCTCATTTAATCACATCAAGATCACAGCAGGAACCAGGGCTGTGTTCTTTCCTGGTCTGTCCCCAGCTCTATTATGGTTCCTTCCTTGCTCAGCCCACTCAGAGAAGAATGCATACCATACAAATGAGTGCTTCATACTGCCATACTTCCCAGATGGTCTGTGGATAAAAAAGAGGAAGTTGTTGGAAAGGATTTTGCTTTTTTTTCTTCTTTCTGTTGTCCTTGCGAGATGTTTTCTGTTTGTGTCTTTCATACTGGACCATATATTATAAGTGGAAAGATATATGCCTATTGTCACTGAATCGATTCCTATAGGAAGGGTGTAACTCCCACCTCCCAGGGTTTCCAAGACTGTGTATCTTTACGGAAGCAGACTGTCACATCTTTCTTCTAAGAAGTTGGATTTGTACAGCCAAACACTTAACCACTGCACCATAACCATTAATAATCACATTCAGCACGCTTCTATACCTGTAATAATTGTTTTTTCTTTAGTTTCCTTACATAAAGAGGAAAGGATTTTCTAGCAGAGCTAAGTCTGGGGATAGAAGAAGTATGTGCACACATGACAATAAGGAGAAGAAGATTGGGAAGAAGGGTTTGAGCATGTGGAAAAGAATTCTGGTTCATGTACTAAATGACACCCAAATTTGAAGGAGAAACTACTGCAGAATGATAACATTTAACTGGGTATTAGTCAGAAATGTGTGGATTCAAAGTGACTTTGACAAATGGAAAAGTAGTATAAATAACTAAGGATAATTATGAGAAAGACTCAACTACCCTGATTGTGCAAAGGATTAAAGTGTTTGACTGCTGGCTTAAATGTTGGCAGTTCAAACCCATCCATACATAGCTCCACAGGAGAAAGACCTGGCAGTTTGCTTCTGTAAAGATTACAACCACGAAAACTATGGGTCAGTTCTGCTCTATCATATGGGGTAACCCATGTGTCTGAATTGCCTTGGTGGCACTTAACAACATTAGAAAGAGTATAGTTCCAGTAAGAAATTAGACATTGACAATGTGACCAAGCCTATTGATTGTTTTGCTTTTTTCTCCAGGTTTGCAACACAACTACTGATAGGAAACACGCAGACATCTTCTTAGAGAAGTGTGTTACTGAGTCCATAATGAACATTGTGAGCGGCTTCTTTAATTCACCTTTTTCAGACAACAGTACCAGCCTGCAGGTAACTGAAACTAGCCAACACACAAGCCAAGGACCATCTTACAAAGAATTGATGTACCTTATTTTACTAGGACAAGCTTTAATCTGGTCGGGAAGCTGTTTCCTACACTTCTGAAGCTTATTTTATTTTATTTTTTTGCAGTATTTACTATTTTGCTATTTTCTGAGTTCACTAATTATTATTTTTAAAAGAGACCCCAATTGAATTTTTCTTTCTCTCCCCATAATCACAGTAAGAGCTCTCATAGCTCTACATTGGCTATTTGCTAAGAATTGAGCTAAACGACATGGTTCTTTAAATGGATAAGCATTTGGATCCAATAGTTCCACTCTAATAATTTATACTAATGGAATCAGGAGAGATTTATGTACTGCCATTTTAATTCAAGTATTTATAATACTTAAAATGACATTTACCTTAAATATCCACAGATGGGAGAACAGCTAAATAAATGATGGTATATTTGTAAGATGGCTTATTATGTGGCAATTAAGAATCATGTTTTTTAAAGAAAAACTTCTGATTAAGGGAAATGATTATGATGCAATATTAAGCGAACAGACCACAAAATTGCAGTATAACATCAGTCAAATGTATGCGTGTAGAGAATATGCATGTGTTCATAGTAGAAATATTCAGGGAATAAATATCTCAACATATTGCTACTGATTACGTGATAAGATTATGAGGGGTTTTCATTTCTATGGTTTCCAAATATTCTGTAGTGATTGAGTATTACTCTTATAAAAATATCCTTTGAACTATATTTTCTTTTGGGAAAACTGTTAAGCTACTAGATTGAGTGATATAACATTGTTTTGTGTAGATGCAGTCTAAAATAGACATTTACATTTGGAAATAAACAAGGAAGTAAATATATGCATAGAAAGTTAATGTCATTGGCTTCAATCAATGCCATCTTCTTCTGATTGCATTTTACATATATAGTTAAAATGCAAATGATTGGTTTTCTATAGTGCCTGGCATGAAACTGGTACATAATAAACATTTGTTGAATAAGAAATTTACTAAATAGCCCTGAACCTAGTAATAATGGTTTGTATTTTATTTTGATGAACCTTTTTGATACTGCATAGTGACCTTTATCAGGTGTGTTAATGGTTTATTGCCACTGTTTGTCGTAATTTTTTTTTTTTTTTTTTGGTAAGACACATCAGCCCATCTTTATTCAGCTGTTACAGTCGGCTTTTAGAATTTACAATTGCACTTGGCCAAATCCAGCACAGAAAGCCTCGGTGGAATCCTGTATTAGAAGTTTGGCTGAAGTGGGTAAGTCTGGTGTTGGCTTTTATTTATTTTTCATTTTCTTCAAGAAATTGGGCTTTTGGCTAATAGCCAATGCCACACCTTTCCATTTACAACTTAATAAGAAAGTCTCTGCAAAGTGAAAGAACAATAATCAGCAAAGAATTTGGGAGGAGAATATAATTGTTACAAATCTAAAGTTAAATTTAATATTATGGTACATAGGACTTCATCTCATTTAAGACTTTATGGGAATGATTTTAGTTTCACGTCTCAAACCAAGTTTCCTTCTGGTACTGTTTTTGTCTATTAAGGAGCCTGACTTAACAAATACCTTCACATCGCAGTAGGACTTTGAGTAGGTTTCTGAGCAGTGCTGGTGTGGTGCTGTGGGCTAATGCGCTGGACTGCAAAATCAGTTTGAACCACAAGGTTGGCGGTTCAAGCTGACCAGCTGCTCCTTGGAAACCCTGTACAGTTGGAACTGACGTGACGACACTCAGCAGCAAAATATATACACATAGCAACAACAATAACAATATACACAGAGGAGTTCTGGTGTAGCACTTTAAGATAAGCCCTGGACAGAAATGTCGGTTTGAACTGCAAGATTAGCGGTTCAAACTCACCGGCCGCTCCTTGGAAACCCTATACAGGACAGTACTTAATAACAACAACAGTATACACAGAAGACTTCAGAAAATACAAATGAAATGATGGAAGGTGAGATGGTTACAGATGCTAGATTAGTAAATTAAGGCAAGGGTTTCTCATAAATTCTTACATTTTGTTTTTGTTTCTTTGAGAGGAGGTTAATTAGAATAGTCTTACCGATGAGGGAGAGGAGGACTAAGAAGAAATTCAGGCTTGACGGGGTTTAAAAAAAAAGAAAGGAAAAGAAGGGGGAGAGAAAGAGAAGGCTTGACCATCTTGTTAATGGTATTTCTGCAGGCTTCAGAAGGGCAGTGAAGTGTGTGTTTCATTTTCATCATTATTGCTAACATTATTTGAGCATTTGCCATGTACTATTCCAAGTAATTTACATGTATTATCTCATTTAATAATTCAAAGTAAGTAATAATTCATTTCAAAGTGTAAGTACTTTGAATTTTTACTTTCTATAGCTGAGGAAACAAATTTATCTAGGTCAGGCAAATTAGGACTATAGTAAGTGCTCAGCAAATAATTGATAAAAGGATAAGTGATTTAACTAGCTAATGATTGCTTAAACATTATAAAGCCGAATTTCACACCTGTCTCCAATTTGACCTAAGTGATTTTTTATTAACAACATTTAATGCAGACACCGATTTTAATTTAAGTTACTTAAAATTAGAAATAATTTATAACCCAAAAGATCAACAGAGAAATTAGTAGAACTAATAGACTAATACAGTTTTTCTAGGTGAGTAGTTACAAATAAATACTAAACTTATTAGATTTGTTATATACCGAAAAGAAACAGAATGTATGTAGGAAAAGGTGTCATTCACATTAACATCATAAATATTAAACACTTAGGACTATAGTAGGTGATCAGGAGTAAACTCAGGAGTAAACTTAATTAATATAAAATAATAAAATTGCAATACCATGGTAACATATTATATATATGAGGGGCATAAAAGATTTTAATAAATGTAGAGGTAAATTATGCCAGGAGTCAAAAACATAATTATAAAGATGATGGATGATTTTCCTAAATAAACTAACTTTAATGATTCCACATAAGAAAAACCTCCATTGCACACACCATTCTTTACCTCACACCCAAGTTGGGCCTTGACATCTCATGCTAGACATACACCGCAAGGATGCCAGATTTGACCTATGACAGCACCTGTAGAAACAGCCTCCTCATCTTGTTGAGTGTCCCCCATCTGCTCAGGTTTCAGGCTGCCCTCTGTGAAGCTGCCCCTCATGTGGTGTTCTCTTTACTCTGCTTGGCCTCTCCTCTCCATGCAGGATCACCCTGCTTAATCTGTATCATCCTATGACAGACCTTCCTGGCATGGATACCCTCCAATTTCACTCAGGTCCTGATTCTCCATAGAATGTAGTCCTCCTCTGCAGATGCCAGTACTTTTTTTTTGGCTCCAGTACTTTTCTCTGGGCCACCACCACTCCTTCCCACTTTTTGCCCAGTGTTCCTCCCCACTAAAGATTTTATAACTGAATGGTTCCTGAAAGAAAGGGAAGTTACAGGAGAGGGAGAGGCCATAAGTATCTAAAAATATGTATATTTTCTTTTCATGGGTGTCTCCTTTGTCCAAATTCACCATCATCTGATGTAGATACTACAAGAGTATCCTTACTGGACTTCCCCTCTTCCACTCCTGCCCTACTACTAACCATTTCTTACACAGCAAACAAAGTGATCCCAAAATGCAAATCAGATCATGTCACTTCCCTGTTGAAAATTCTCCATTGTACCTAAAATGAAATCTGTACTCCTTCCATGGCTTATAAAGTCTGTCTACTGAGCTTCCACTACTTTGCCTACCTTCTCTCATTACCCTTCTCACTCCTCTTCCTTCCCAACTCGCTTTCATCCACACTGGCTTTCTTTTTGTGATTGTCATCTGTTGTTAGTGGCTACCAAATCACCTCTGACTTTGCAGACCCCATTTACAATAGAATGAAATGGTGACTGATTCTGCATCATCCTTTAGGTCACCAACATGCTTAAGTCCATTGTGGTGACTACTTTGCCAAACCATCTCACTGAGCATCTCCCTTGCTGGTCCTCTTCTTTGACAAACATGGTGTGCTCCTAAGTGATTGATCCCTTCTGATGATATGTTGAAAGCAAGAGTTTTCACTATGTTTTAGAAATAGATTTAGAGGTTTTTTTTCCTAGTCTGTCTTAGTCTGCAATCTCTGCTGTAAGTGGTCTACCATGTGTGACCCTGGTGGTATTTGAAATACTGGTAGCATAGCTTCCAACCTCATAGCAGTAGGCAAGCCACTATAGTATGAGAAGATAGACTAGTGGTGAGTTTCTCATTTGCTTGTGTCTTTTCTTTATTTTAGGATATTTGCATGTGCAAATTGTCATTTTCAGGTTTCCTCTTTTCAATTTGCAGCTCAAAAGTTAGTACTTAAGTGTTCCAGAACATGGCTTATTCATTGTCTTAGCTTATTCCTGCCCCTTACCATGTTGTACTATGATATTTTCCTCTTAGCATTTACATTGCCTAAAATATCTTGTCCATCTATTTTTCAGCTTCTCCCTCTAGAATGTAAACTTGTGAAACAGGGACTTTGCTTTATTCACTACTGATCTCTGGGACCTGAAAGTGTCTGGTGCTGATTTGACAGGTTAATAGGTGCTTGTTGGCTGGCTACAATCTATGGACTAAGTATTTTTCAGAGAGTGAATTTTAGGCTTAGAGAGGTTTCTCTGAGTGTGAAGTTTATACTGTACCATGTTGCCATCGAAGCCCTATTTTGAGAAACATTAAAAGATCAATGATCAAAGCCTTCAGTATGGATTGTACTTCAATGTGAAGAAAACAAAAATTCTCATAACAGGAAAAATAAATAACATCATGATAAATGGAGAAAAGATTGACGTTGTTAAAGACTTCGTTTTTCTTGGACCCACTGGAAGCAGCAGTCAAGAAATCAAATGACATACTGCATTAGGCAGATCTGCTGCACAAGACATCTTAAAGTGTTCAAGAGTAAAGATACCAGTTTGGGACAAAGATGCACCTGACCCAAGTCATGGTATTTTCAGTTGCTTCATATGCATGTGATAGTTGGACAATGAATAAGGAAGCTAGTAAACGAATTGGTGCATTTAAGTTATGGTGTTGGAGAAGATATTGAAAGTACATGGACTGCCAGCAGAACAAACAAATCTGTGTTGGAAAAAGTACAACAAGAATTCTCCATAGAAGCAAGATGGTAAGACTTCATGTCTCATACTTTGGACATCTTATCAGGAGGGACCAGTCCCTGGAGAAGGACATCATGCTTGTTAAAGTGGAGGGTCAATGAAAAAGAGGAAGACCTCTCAATGACGTGGATTGGCGCAATGGCAGCAGTAATGAGCTCAAGTGTAGCTGTGATGGTAAGGATGGCATAGAACTGGAAAGTGTTTCCTTCGGTTGTGCATAAGGCTGCCATGAATTAGAACCAACTTGAGGGCACATAACGACAGTAACAACAAAGACCCTTGGTGGTGCAGTGGGATAAGCCTTGGGCTGTCACCACAAGATTGGAGGTTTAAACCCAACAATTGCTTTGTGGGAAAAAGATGAATCTGTCTGGTCCTTTAAAAATTAGTAGTCTCAGAAACCCTATGGAGCAGTTCTACTTTAGCCTATAGGGTTGCTTTGAGTTTGAATCGACTCCATGGCAATGGATTTGGTCTGGTTTAACATAAACTATAAAAAATTAATTATCAAGACAGAAACTTGTTGGAACATTTATAACTTAAGTTCAAAAACTTTTTTGTGTGTTTTAGCAGCCCTCTAATCTGTAAGAATTTATAACATTAAAGGGGAAAAGGGCATATATGTTTCAGAAAACTATAACAATGTCAAGAGAGTACTTTGTTTTTATAAAGCATCTGTTCAGTGGAGTTACAGATTGTTAAAACCATTATTGTAATTGCACATAACAATTATAGTTATGTTTGCATAGAACTTTATGATTGGCTAAGTGCTTTCATTTACATTATTAGTTCCACTCATCTATTATCAAAATACATCATTCTCTTCCTTATTTATGCATTGGATATAAAATACAATAAAAATCAGCAAAAGCATTTGCTAAGTCAGCACCGACCTTACTGAGAACAGCAAGCATTTATTGACTATTGGACAGTGTGAAGCCCTATGGTTTGGGCATAATTTTTATGCCTCCTTACAAATGGGGAAATGAACTAAGAAAGGTAGCACAGCTTGCTCTGTGTCACACAAGTAGGCAGAGATCTTAATCCATTCTAAACTGACATGCTGTTGTGAAGTACCATCGAGTCAGCTCCAGCTCATAGTGGAAATGCTATATATAGG